TATTGTGATGCCGTGTCCCGGCTGGAGCAACGAGGCAATAACATTAAAACCCATTATAAACAGTGTTGGGCAGTAACGCATTACTTAGTAACGCGTTACTTTAATTTGATTACTTTTTTAGTAACGGAGTAATTTAACGCGTTATAATTTTCAAAACAGTAATTAGAGTATAGTTACAAGCCGAGGTCTCTATACGTAACTGCCGCGTTACATTGCTGACAGAATGCAGTGATTTATAATCTAGATATTAAAAAGGATGTCGAGTCGAGTCCCAGTGGATTAGAGACCTGCTCCCACGAGACCCGACGCAACAGAGTGCGGCACGGGACAAGACTTGATAGGCGAGTGCAGAGTCTCGTGTGTGTGCGGGATGCGGGAGAATAAAATGATTCACGGGACTCCCGCAAAATAGAAATATCTAAACATAAAATATCTAAAACAAATAAATTGTTATTCATCTAGCCTATTGCACAAAAGCAACATGAACTAATATAAAATATAAACGATTAACAGGTGCAAGCGTATGCAGAGTTTCTATTTAGGCTATAGCACGTGTTTGCAGCGTTGAGCAATGCAGTGCTGAAATTTGCGTGCTCACGAATCCTCTCATTATAACACAAGAATTGTAGACATTATTCGATTCATTATGCATATATTTATTGTGCTATAACAGAGATTTGTGAGATTGCGATGAACTGAGATGTCTTAGATGAGATGTCAATGCAGCGCTCTTTGCTGGCATTCTGCCAAACCATGCACTGAATTTCATGGAGAAAAAAGTAACGTAACTAGTAATGTAACTAATTACTAATTACTTTTGAAATAAAGTAATCAGAACAGTAACGTGATTACTTTTAAAAGGAGTAATCAGTAATCTAATTACATTTTCAGAGTAACTTGCCCAACACTGGTGGTCACGTACAAACACTGCAGCTAAATACAGTCATCATTTCCTTTCAAAACGCCTGTTCTAAACATACACAGAATATGATTAAAAGCTTATTTAAGTTATTTACTTAAGCTCATGCGATCTTTGGGAATCGAACCTTTGGCCACAATGTTGTTAGCACTATATATTTTATAGCACTTTTAATTGTGTGTGTGTGTATGTCTATATATATATATAGATAGATAGATAGATAGATAGATAGACAGATAGATGTAACAACCTAAAAAAATTTTTATTTTATATTTATTTATATTATATATTTATTTTTATGTAGGTGTAAAATGTTAACAATATTTAATTGCATAAGTAACTAGGTATACAGTATATATTGTATTCACACACACACACACACACACACATATACTGTATATATATATTTGCACCTATTCAAAATAAATAAATAAATACATACATACATACATACTGGCTATAATAAAATTTAATATCAAAAATAAATATGTGCTGAAGTGATTGCTTAACTACTTTTAACTATGTTTATTTATTTTACATTATGTCAAATGAGAGAAGTCGAAGCATTCATAAAAATACTACTTTCTAACTTGTAAATGAGAGTTTGATAATACGTGATTTTTTTTTTTTTACTATTCGAAAACGCGCAATTACGGTAATTCCGACATGACGTGAATAAGGCATTATACTGTAAGATCAATTGATGCTTAACAAACAATGCTTTTTGAACTGTGAGCTCTCTGATAACATCAAGCCTGCTTTCATTCCATTACCATCCAATCTAGTTTAAGATCAGAGACAGGCAGGAGGCCGCTTTTAAACTAAGGTTTCCGTCTTGTCCTCCTCCCCACCCTCCTTTCTCTTTCTTTCTTTCCATCCCTCTCTCCCGCTTCCATTAACTGTGCATCAGGCAAGATGCTTTACTTTTAACAGTCATGCTTATTTTTCTTGCCCTGAGGGTAGAGATGCCTTGAAAGCCTGCCCGGAGGGTGTGTGAATAATGTATCTGAGGGACTCCTCCCCGGAGGCGGGACAGGAACCCTACTTTTCTTAAGATTGGCCCTGCTGTGTCTCCTTGTTTTTGGGGATGCATCAATCAAAGGCGACTGTATGCGCCATATTCATGCATTAATATTTCAGTTAATGAATAATGACATTTGAATATAAGAAGGGGGTGGTAGATGGACTCCAGGCTGGCTTACTGATGCCGTAATCAAAATGCAAGTCAAGGGCAGGGCAGTGGTCTCACACTGTCTGTCTCTACACAACCCAGACTGCTGTTTCTTCTCATTATGCTTTCAGGAGTTTGCATGTTGACCACAGTCTTAACTGCCTGAGAGGAAAGGGTTTATTGTGAATATAAAGAAAAGATTAATAGAAAGTATTATGTTCTGAAAGGGAAAGAAAAAGTAAAAACAAAGAGAAGAGAAAAGAAAAGAAATAATATAAACAGAAGAGAAAAGAAAAGAATAACAGAAAACATGAATTTCTAGTGTGTTTATGACGTCAAATATCAAAATATTAGTGAGACTAAAAAGTTATATATTACATTTGGAACAATTTAAAAGGGAATAAAAAAATCTGAACTATGAAATGGAATATACAGAAATGAAAAGAAAGAAAAGAAGTGAGGTTTTCAGTTTGTTTATACAAATCAAATAGCAAAAAATGTTAGCAACACTTGATACTATTTAGTAATATACTTAGTAATATTTTATATTCGGAACTATTTAAAAATATAAAATATGAACATATATTTAGAAAATATATGAAAATTAGAAAATAAAATAAAATACATGTTTTAAGCGTGTTAACGAAAATCAAATATCAAAAAGAAAAAAAAGATAACTATAAAATGGAACAATAACGTGTGAATATGTGAGGGGATGTTTTCCTTGTGTTTATGAAATTCATATTTCAACAATAGAATTGCATGAAACAAATGAATGAAAAAAGTAACACATTAAAGAAAAGAAAGTAAAAACTGAAAATGAAACTGTATAAAAGGAAATATAGGAAATAATAATAAAATTAAAAAAAAGTTTTCAATGTGTTTTTAAATATCAAATATGTACTAAATAATGATAAAAAAGAACAAAAACTGTATAGTATAAACTGTAAAGTATAAAAAACTGATGACTTTTAGGGAAGAAAAGGTGAAAGGTGAAACTATAGTAAGATTAAGAAAAGAAAAGAAAAGAAATGAAAAGGGGAAAACGATAGATAAAGAGAGCTGGGCGAGATCCTTACATCTAAGGAAGACTCAAACACTCTCTTCCCCCCCTTCTCCTCGAGCCTCTCTCCTCCTGTTCCAGAAAACGAAGGCCGCAGGGCTGATCCAACCCGACGCTAATCGCTTCTGACTGTTCCCTGGCAACTTGGCCCATGCAGCCTGTGTGACTGCACTCTCTTTAAATGCTGCTGCTCTCTGCAGCTCCCTGAGCCCTACCTCACTCCCCGAACCCGGAGTCTGCACGCGCAGCGCAGAGGGGGGCCAGAGCAGCCTGGAGGAAGGCTGGAGTAAGCCCTCGGGCTGTTTAGGGAAAAACAGCACCCTAAGACATGGAGAAGTGGAGGCTTCTAGCTTCCTTTTTTTTCACTTTCCCTCATACGTATAAAACAAAACTTCTGAAGGGGCTGTGCGGAGATATGCATATAAAACAAGTCTAATTTTTCGACCGGTTTCCCACATCCTTCAAGCCGACCCTGACGGCATCCGTGTCACATCACGGTACCTTCAGCGTCCGAGAGATGACAAGGTCCAAAGCTAAAACGCTCTGCGTTGTTCTGATGCTGATAATTAGATGAACTGGAGATAGATGAAAGTCCCGGAGACAAAGGGGCCCGGCGCAAACTAGCCGGGTCTGATGACTGCCACCCCGCACGCATCACAGAATAAATCCTGTTTGCTTGCTTAATGAGCTCACCATGACCTCAATCTATCACGAACTATACTTCTCCAAAGGGGCCATAATTCTGACTACTGGACGCAACAGACTGGATAATTACTGGACAAACGCAGATGATTTTGTTCTCGCTAATCGTTTCGCTTAAAGCATATTGATTAGATGCTCTTATCCTCTTGTCCCCCGTGGCCATGATATGATCTGGAGGACCACGGGATTGGACCACAGTTGGGTGGTATTGACGGCTAAAACGCGGAGGCATCGGCTCTTGACACTTGTTGTTGGTCCACTCCGCTTCATGCTGGGATTTAGCCTCCACTGAAGGTTCAGATATAGATGTAAACATCCTGTCTCAGCCTGTGTCTTTCAGCAGCCTTCGAGGTGAACACTGGCCTGGAATGTCCTGCAGCTTCCCTTTGTTCCCTTTCGGCCTTTGTGATGGACATTCCTAGGCTCTGCATTCCCACCAACACGCACATGTTTAGGATAGCTGTGGAAAACCCCCCACGACCATCCCAAACTCACCCTGAGGTGAGTCAGCAGTTCTTAAAAACATTCGGGAGAACCTCTCTTTCCTTCTTAAGCTAGCATGAAGGTTTCTCAACAAGAGCAACTTCTACTGATGTGCAGGCAACAAAGGGACCCCCCTACAGGAGACAGGTGCTTTGAAGAGCCCCGGTAATCCTTTGGACTCGAGTTTGGGTGACTGACGTAACACCCCCCCATTCACTTGTAATGGAAAAGGTGTTTGCTTTACCGATCTCTTGAATGATAAAGGGAGGAACACCGATCCAAAGTGGCTCCTGGAGGAGCAGCAGGTAGATGTCCCTGATCCTAACCCAAGCTCTGCCTCTGATCACCCCAGATATCAACCCTCTATTGTGACCGGTATTTGAAGTGCTCTGTCCTTCAGGCCGGCAGGGGTCATTCCTCTTCCCCTTCTTCAATGCATGCTCTTTGGGGTCAAAAGGCCGTGGGCCTTGGATGTCCCCCCACTGTTGTTTAAAAAAAGCCACCCTGATGCTTTTCTCTCTTTTATACCGAGTAGCATTGCAGAAACACTACTGGCATTGCTGCTATGCCAAACATTTTAAAGATGTCTTTCACACTGAGGCTGAATTGTCAAAGAATTACAATCTGGCCGCTGGTTTTTGGTTCTGGTTTCTCTTGTCTTGCAGAACATCCTGCTTTGTGCTGCATAATGGTCAGGCTATTGGTGTCTGATGGTTAAAAGGAGGTGAGAAACCCTGAAGGCTATTTTAACTGGAGCAATTATACAAAAACAGGTCGTAAAAAAAATTTAATAATTAAATAAAAATTCCCCCAAAAGGTAAACAGCGTTAAAGGACAATAAATATGGAGTGGCAGGTCGCAATATAAATTAAGAAAAAAAAAGTGACATGCAAATGGAAGATCTGGTTAATTAAATTAGACCCTTAACCTTTCAAGAGCATTAAACACATATTGTGTCCACAGGAAAATCGTAAAACCAGCTCAACGAACCATCGCAATGATGACACGAACAATGACACATTTCTTTGATTAGTAAACACTGTTTACACCCATAGGCATTAAAAAATATGAATTTAAAAGAGTGAATTCTGCAAAATACTACAAGTACAATATACACTACAAGGTGGTAACCTGTAATTGATAGCTGTTTAACCCATTTTTTATATAAATTCAGTGATATTTAATATGATTTTTGACTTGAATAAAACTAATTTAGATGTCGACATTTTTAGGTTAGCTTTTTTTTAGTATATAATGTATAAACATAATTTAAATGAGTTAAGAAGACAGCAAAAAGATGACAGTGTTAGTCTTTTCAACAAAACGTATTATGCTTCAGGTTGATTCAGATAGGTTACCCTTATGTATAAACACAATTTAAAATCCAGCCTCAAGAGAAAATACTACTTGAAGCCTGGATTAGAAATTAAGATGACAGCATAAAGCGTTTTTAACAATGCATATTATGATGTAATAGCAAAATTGACAGGCTTTCCTACCTAGTTCACTGCAGTTGTCTCCGCTCTGAGAGGCATGTCCCCCGCTGGAGGGTCCTGGGGTGCCGACTGAGGGAGTAGAGTGAGCGTCGTCCATGTCTCTCCAGGATGCTGGATTCTGAGGTTCAGGTACATGAACATCCAGAGATCGAAGGGTGAAAAAAGAAGCACACATTAGTAATGCTAGCGCATACACATGCCATTTTTAAAACAGCAAGTTTTTTAACAGCTATAGTTACCATGTCTGTGCTGAAATATTAGTCTGATCAAATTAAAGACAGCAAAAACGCACGATCCAGACAAACTAGGAATACTTTTCCGAACACTAGACTTATGGAGCCTCAACCAGGGTAACAGCTTCTCCTGATGTCCGACCGTAAATGCTGACAAAAAACCAGCGGCATCCCCTTTTTATCCAGAACAGGGTACAAAGCACTTAAGATGGGCTCAACATGAAGGCAAACAGCAGCCGTTCCTCTTCAGGCCTTTCGCGTCAGCTGTTTGCCTGATGGTGATCAGCTAAAGAGCTCTAAGAAAGGCCAGAATAAGCTCCTACAACAATAAAGCTGTGTGAATAAGACCCTTCACTGTTTTCTCATTAGGGCACACAAAAGCAGTCTGTGGGTTTGTGTGTTTAGGTGTGTGCGTGTGCTGTTAATAACGTTTCAGAAGGCCACTGTCTCCCTTCATCACCTAATTCAAATTGTTCCGTGTCACACCGCACACTTGTAAATCGATAAGACATTACAGGAGCATCAATAAAAGATTACAGTTACCGTCAAGTGTACAAAGGTACATATTCATCAAATAAATTTCAGCTGACCAAGTGAAGGTATGACGGTTAGACCTCAGCATCTGCGGTTCAGATCTATTTACAGGAATGGTGTGGATGGGGAAAGTCATCTAACGTTTTACATGATGGAAAATAGAAGGACTGTAATGTAGGAACTATTACGGGCGTTTAACGTCAGTTCAGATCATCTAAACGGCTGTTTTAATCTGTATTTTTAATGTGGAGAAAACCTCTCTCTTCCCATTTTTTTAACCTGGAACAGAACTAAGCAGAATGTAAAGTTCTGTTCTTCTTAATTCTGTGGTTTTGCTCCTATGACAGGGGGTGGTGCGTTGATAATAGGAAGCACAACTGTAAAGAACACACTGTTGGTCTCTGAGTGAAAAAAGACTCCCCTCCTGCTTGACAATAACAATCCAATCAGTTCAAAGACAATAGCGCATTCACGTGCAAATGTAACGTTGATCATTAGGGCTAACAGAGGGCTGGACAGTGGGGGGAAAACCCTGACCCTTAGCAACACCTGCACCCAACACAACGGGCTTCATCAACATGATCATCATCATCATACCTCTTCTAAAATAAGATGTGTCCTGGGGCAATGCCTTAATGATTCATATTAGTGCAAAGAGAAATGGATTTAGATAATGTTGTTTAAATAAATTAGCATATGCAACTAAGTAATTACTCCTCTTTCTTTCTTACTCTCTCTTTATGACCAAAATATATTGTGGAGATGAATAATGGAGGAAGCTAAAAAGACAATAAGGCAAATGCATGGCTGAAGCACTACAAATGTTAAGGTTAAAATGCAAGTACAATACAAAATAAATGGCATGTGGACTTTCGGTCTTTTCTTTGTTGGAAACCTCACTAATGTTCCTTCACAAAACGCCTGGATTGCAAATGCAAACAGCTCCACTATTTAATTGGCCTGTTTTATGATCTCATAGAAAGCCAATTAAAACTCACGTGCTCTCCTAGATTTGTCGAGGATCCTGAGAGGTCGTCGAAGTCGGTCTTGCATCCATCCCGATCATCAATTACCAGGTCAATGGGCATTTTGCCCTTCAAACAGCTAATATACCGATGGCAGAAGTTGTCGCAAAGCTCGTGCACCTGATTCAAAACCGAAAAAAACAAAAAATCAGTTTGTAAATTTGTTATTCGAACAATATAGGCTACATATTGTACATAATACACGCAACACGATAATAAAATAATTAACATACCTTTTCGAGTTCTAAAAGATGGAATCGTAATACTTGTATTGACTGTATCATCTAAAGAAAGAGTAAAATAATGCATTAAATATTTCAACAAAAATAGCAACATTAACAGCAACCAAAAATAATTAGCCTATAATAGTAACAATAATAATAATGGTTTAATAATAATAATAATAATAAGCTAATAAAAAACTTCAAACATCAAAACATCAAACATCGTTGGTTATTCTATACGCGCGAGAAATCACAGTCGAATCAAAAACTTGGCACGTCTGATATTGTGTTGGCTTTGTAATGTTGTGACAATAGCAGAAGTGTAAATAGGTTCCTCTAGAGACGACGCTTTGAGGGAGCCCAGGGCAAAGACCCCCACGCCCTCTGATAACACGCGGCTTCATAAATCACTAAAGCTTCCTTTCTTTCCCTCAAAGAATCCTCACATGGAGCTTTGAAGCGACTTTACCTGGAACAAAATCTGCGCGAAACAGCATCTCACACTTACCAAATTGTCCACAACAAATACACCAAACGCAAATAACAGTTTTGGATTTTCCACCAATATTTAACTTAATCTGGATGACCAAACATTTATTTAAACCGTTAAACAATATTTATTTTTCAGTCAATAAGTTACCTGTTTGGCAAACACAGCGATGTCCTCGTTAAATGAATCGGATGAGCACACATCTCCTCCAGCGACTCCAGGCTCTCTCGGTGTGCATGTGGCCAGCTCGCACTTCTCAAACACCAGCGCCAGAAGCGGAAATAACGGGTGCCTTCAAGATTCAACATAAACATTTGCATAAACTTACAGATCAAAACACTATATCAATAACCGAGCAATCATTCTGACTACAGTACTGGAGTTCTATTGCTACTTTCATTGCTTTGACGGCCACATAGTTGCACTCGGTCAGATAGTGACTAAAAGCGCTCTATAATTTGTATAATAAAAATGTAACATTATTTTAAACTTTAAAAAATGCCGCGCATTATTTACATGTCACAGGTGAACTGTTACTATGTGCTACTATCAGACACTATTCTTTAAGATCGTATATGCAAAGATTACATTTACTGACTGTGATAAAGTACAACTAATTGCATTGTCAAATGCGGTGCAATAATGCAGCACGCCATTTGAACAATTAAAGATTGTGTTGACTATTGTATTAAGCATGGCTGCAATAAGGTAGCTACCCATAAATTTGGTCCTTGTCTCTTTTAAGTGCGTCGTTGACAGCCGAGCCCATGCTGCTGGGCATGATGCTGTGCGGTGCGTGGGCCCCGTAGTGCTGGTTGGCATGTGGCGGTGGCCCGTGGTTCAAATGATGAACCTGCGGCAGGGGCCGAGGCGCGTGCGGATCCCCGTACATGGACGTCGGAACCCCAACTCCATCCATACCGCCACCATAGTGGGCAAGGTCTTCGTACTGCATCAGACAGAAACGGCATCATAGGCAACTCAAAAAAATAAAAATAAAAAACACACACACGTGTTTACCTAATATAGCTTTATAGAAATATTAAAAACAAACTATGAGCAAACTTTACGACTTAAGTCGTTTACGCGGTGGATTTGTAAGAGAACGTACCCGTTGAGCCATCAGCATATGACGCTTTTGTTGATGTTAAGTGCAAATTGTGATCTTATCCAACGAGGAAGCAATTTGAGTGATTTAATTCCTTTTGTGCATCCGATTTAAGAGGACTGAGCTGTCGGTAATCCGTTGAGATGATAGAGCATGTCCTGTGAGGAGTTTCTGATCGCTTCCTATTCAGCCACTTTTAGTTTTTGAGCAATTCGACCGTATTGCCAAACGCACTGTGACGGATAGACTATAGTTAAATATAGGTTACAAATATTTGCTTCCACTTAAACCTTCTGACTAGCTAATGCAATTTATCCGTCACAGACTTCCTGAAGTCAGAAGAACCTTTCCAAATTCGGGGATGTTCGTGTCTGGCATGGCAAACACTGCGAGGAAAAACTATCCGGATCTCATGGTCCCTCTTTGCGACCCACGCTTTGCCTCAACTGGGATTGCGTTGGTGATTTGGAGCAGGTTCCTCTTGAAGAGACTGAACCCCTGATGACTGAGCCTGGGAAGCGTGGTGGGTGTTACCAGCTCGACACCTCTACATAAAGCAAGAGAAAGAAGAGCGCAATGACCACGAGCTGCCAGCGAGTGTTCACATTGGATACGCGCACAGATGACGCACCACCATCCTCTGCGTTTTGTTACTAGGGGTGGAGTGTCTTTATTTTTAAAAGTGCTAAAATCAGATCAGTGCACTGGGAATGGACCTTATTTCAACAAATTGCTGAGCATCACAGCATTTGAGCCTTTGAAAATATATTTACCACAGACTATACATTTTGACTGCTTCGTTAACTGTCCTTCAGGTTATTACATTTATACAGTGAAGTTAAATAAATAAGTTTACGTTTTTCATTTTATTTGTTGTTTTAGCTTTTGTAAGTATATTTGTAAATATGATTTAAAATACAATAAATGGATTAGATGTCTTGTTCTCCTTTAGTAATGAAAGAAACTGTCTAAACATGCGTTCAGTTTCATGTTAGGCTATAGCTTCACGCTGTTTTTATATATATACGTTTTTAAAAGAAACAATTGTTAATGTGTGGAACAAAACTGAATTTTAAATGGGAAAATATAAAACCCGTGCAGTTATACATCTTCCTCTTATTCCAAGCGCTTTTGCGCATAAATGACACTGAGGGAATTCTGCACGACTGTCTCATCATCATATTTAAACGCCTATAAAGGAAACGAGATCGACCGGGATGAAAACACAAGATAAACTGGTGTACAGAAGCATTGAATTTGCTTTGCATTTGACGATTTAAATTGACTTAGAATTGTAATTTTTATCATGTTGTTTTTAAGTTATTATTTATGGTTTATGGCCTCATATAGCCTATTAACAAAAGGAAAAAAAATAAATACATATAAAATTAGCACATATTTTAGAAATTATATTTATTTTATTTCAATATAAATTTTATCGGTGATACACGGTGATATAAACAACAAATGTTACTTTTGGTAAAATTCTAAACAGCATTCCCCTTTAGTAAGCTATACACCCTTAGTTTTTAACTTGTTTAATATTTGTAAAATGTTATATTTTATTTTACTTTAATTTGTTATATTAGTCTATGCCGGCATAGAATGCTGGCATTTGGGCATTTATTTCAAAATGTTTCCGAAAGCGTGTTATTGCGAGGATGCGCTGAAAATTAAGGTTAAAAGATGCGAGTATTGTTTATGTAAGATGCATTTCTACAAACACAGTGCCCGAGGCTAAATTCTTCCGATGCACATTATTTCTTGGCACTCCTACTTCATTTCCTCTCTCCTTTCTCTTTCACTTCTCCTCCTCCTTTGTATTTCGCTCCCCGCTTACAGTATGCATGGAAGATGCTGACTGATTCATGCTGTCACCCGACCTGCTTTAAACTGTAATGAGTTACCATAGTCTGAGCCTGTGTGCATCCTCAAAAACAGAATCAGACATCATCCTCTGCTGTCCTGAACATCATTAGCGTTGTCAGGACAGGGTGAAGCGCACGCATGGCCCAAACTCTCCCTCTTTCTCTCCTTTGAGGCTGCTGATAAATATGTACATATTCGATATATGCATGTATATATGCAGGCCGTGCACGCTTCAAAATAGGTATCCGGAAGGGATGACAATGTAGTGACCTGTATCTCACACGCTGCACATGTGGAACAAGATTTATTGAGCACTGTCATTTTGCTGGCAGGATGCGGTGTGTGCACATCCAGTGTGTCTTCTGCAAGAGAGTACAGGAGCAGCCCTGTACAAACATCACAATGTGTGCAGGACTGGGGGAGTAAAGCCAGCGCATTCCAGCTCAATGACTTACAGCGCATGTGCTGACAGCCTGACCTCACCAAAAAGAGATTCTCTCCAGCCTCTCATAAAGAATCCTTATCCTCCCTCCAAAAAAAGGGGAAAGAATGCCTTGTTCCCTAATGCTTTAATATTAGTTTTTCTCCATACGTTTGGACCCCAGTTGTTTCCATTATGACTGTAGGTGACCCAGAACACTGAAATAATCTTGAGGGTATATTAACTCACTAAGAATGCCGAATTTTGATGCAGTTTAGGTCACAGGCATGTATAATAAAGCATCCAAGAACATCTGTGATTAAATTAACACCTTTTCACACTCCATCAACGTGTTCATTAAAGGTAATTTTTGGGACGTTAAAATAGTTTCTTCTGTCCCAGCTAAATATGGAGATACCAGGCGTAAGGAAGCCATATGTAGGTTGAGCGCTGAAAACTGTAAACACTCAGTGAAAAGACTAGTAAATTTCACTAGTAATTACAAAGAAATGGCAAGCAACACATTGAATTAAACGTGAAATGTTTATGAAATACTGAAATAGTATATTCTTGTAAAACATACTCCAATAATCTTTTGAAGAAAAAAAAAATCATTTTTTACAGTGCTGTTGGTCTGTTGTGCTATAAAAATGTTCATGTTTGTGTAAGCATCCCGACCAGAAACAGACCAATGGTGGGACTATCTGTTTAACTGACCAATGACAGAATATTTGATCGGAAACCTGTATGAAAACAGTCATTATTTTTTTTTAGCTAGTGATGAAATACATTTATTTTAAAATGGATTTTGAAGTTTGAAGGTTGAATAAAACATTTGTAAACCTAATAGAAAATGAACTGGCAGAACATTCATTCATTCATTCATTCACGTATGTATGTTATTTATTTATTTATTTTAGTGTTAGCGATTAATCACATCCAAAATAAAAGACTGTTTACATAATATACAGTATGTGTACTGTGTATATTTATATGTATAAATTACACACACATACAGTATACAGGTAAATATTTAAGAAAGTGTGTATATATATTCATATTT